TCACGATTGAGACGGAACCCAGGGTTTTTGCACGTGTTAGGCAAGAGCTTCACCACTGAGCCCCAGGCCCAGCCCTGAAGTGCACTCAGCGTCCAGAGAAGGGCACGAAGCCTGGACAGCCACCTGCTTGTTGCTCTGTTGGGGCTGAGATCCAAGCCTGGCTATGTCTGATGCCCCAGGATGCTGGTGTCCTGAGGCTGGGCTGTGAGCCCCTCCTCTTCTGGGTACAAGCAGGCAGATGTCACTGAGCTAACGTGGTGGGCAGCAAAGCATCACATATGACATGTCTTCCCAGGCGTCAGAATCCCGCAGTAGCGCAACTCCATCCATGCAGATTCCTAGCCCTTTGCTCTGACTGCTAAACCGGGCGTGACTGTGTCTGGGGCTGCCACCGGGGCCACCACCCCTGTCCTGTAATATCAAGCTCAGAACAAATGGCTGCTGAGGAGGGTTCATTGCTCCCCACCTGAGGCCTTCTCTGGCCCTGTGCCTCATTTTCCTGTGTCTTATTTTTTTTTCAGAGTCCTCACCCACCCGTGTCCTAGGGCTGCCGGCTGTCATGCCCAGCTGTGCCTCCTCCACCATCCCACACACTCCTCATTGGTTCCTTCTAGCTGTGGTCACCTCGAGAACCAGGTCACCAAGCTTATTAGAAATGGTGGGCAAGGAAAGTAAGCAGACACGGAGCAGCACACGAGGCTGTGCTCCCACACGGTGCTGGCACACGGAGGCTGTGCTCCCACACGGAGCAGCACACGGAGGCTGTGCTCCCACACGGTGCTGGCAAAGTTGTTATTGCTGCTGTTGTTATCGTTGTTTATTATTATTATTATTATTATTATTATTATTATTATTATTACTTTAACTTGTCCCTCAAGGCACGCATCAGAAATACAGAGCCAGGTTGCTGTCTTGCAAAAAGCTACACTGAACGGGGCGCGGAGGCCACTTTGGCAGCGTGGAGGCCACAGGGAGGCAGCTGCAGAACCCCACTGGCTTGGAACGTCTTATTGCACAGCTCTTGCAGCTGAGGCCCCCTCTCATGAACCCACCAGGCAGGAGCCTGGTGTGCTCAGCCCGGCCCCAGCCCTGCCCTTGCTGCTGCTCTTTTCTGTCCTTGGGGCCCCTGCGTACTTTCTGGTCACCCATGATCACTCAGTCTTCAGCTTTTCTGACAGTGATAGGGACACAAGTCAGGCCAAGTAATTTCTATATCAACAACCCTGCCCCCTCCCCCGCGCGCATGCACACGCCACGGCCTCCCACTGTCCATGTGGCCTTGAGAAGCCTGATCCCATCAGTAACTGATAAACCCATAGCTCATAGTTTCAGGGCAGGAACCTCACACAGTACCTGATCCACAGTGACCCAGCCAAGTTCATTAATGCCAGCCTCATCTCCTCTCCCTGGCCACAGCTTGGGGCCCTGGAGGCGTTTGAGTGTCAGTGATTATTTTTTTCTGGCAGGGTCCAAACAGTAAACATTATGGGCTTTGAAGCTCATATGCTCTCTGCCTCAACTACCAGCCCTGCCTGGCACTGCTCAGAACCTCCATAGAGGGCATGCAAATGAGTGGATGTATCTGCGTGCTAATAAAACTTTATTTACAAAAACAGGTCATGAGCCCAATGTACCAGTTCCCTGTTCTTCTAGGTCTGCTTGAGCAGAGTCTGGCCCCTCCTCTGGGGCTGGGCTGAGGAGAGTGTCCTGAGGTGAGGGGGCTTTTTCAGACTTAGCATGGAAAGTCCTGATCCAGGAAGACTGAGTCAGAGCAGGACAAAGGGTTACCCTCCCAGGACAGTTTTTCTCTGTGCCATTTGGCTGTCTGCTCTACAAAGGGGAGGGGAGGACTGCCATTCAGTGTGAGATGAAGTGTGCCAGGAGCTTGCAGAGGGCTTGGTGAACATGATCTCCGTCATAAACTCCCAGTGTTGTGGGACCAGAGCTCCACTCAGGAGGGGTGAGGGGCTGAAAAGTCCTGCCTCATGGACCTCAGGTGCCCCCAGAGCCTAGGCCCTTCTGCCTCTCCAGACTGCGAGCTCCTTGAGGACAGAGCTGGGAATCTCACCACTGGAGCTTCTGTGACCAGCACAGAACATGCCACCCAGAGGAATCCCAGCAAACACTGGGACTGGCAGATCCTGACACCAAATAGATGGATGAATACACGAGTGAAAGATTGATGGGTAGCTGGATGAGCACATGTGTCTATGGATGGACAGACAGGTAAACAGGCAGACAGATGGGTGGATGGATGGATGGGTAGATGGGCAGCTGCATCAACAGATGCATGGAGGGATGGATGGATAGGTTAGTAGGTGGGAAGGGGAATGCGTTGACTGATGATGGATGGTTAGGGAATTTCCCCCACATCCACACGGACACTGGCTTGTTCTGTGCGTTGACCCATTCCCATCGATGTATCCTTCAGGCAAACTCATTGGAAAAGGTCTCACGAGCTCTGATATCTATTATGTCAGGCTTGCCTTCCGGCACTGGGGAGGCAATATGATATCATATTTAAAATGTACTCTGTGACATCAGGTGGCCTCTGTGAATTCCCAGGAAGGCCTTTTTCTGGGCTGTGTGACCCAGATAATTCAACAGACCTCTCTGAGTCTGTAATAGAGATTGTCTCATAGGGCTCCCATGAGTGACAGGTGACATGAGTGTCAAGTACGCACTCTCTACCTGACATGTGCTTGAGCCCAGCTTGAGCCCAGCAGAGAGCTCGTGGGCCTGGGGTGGCCACCATGAGCAGCACACTGTGTGGCTCTATGTAGAACACCAGGGTCGGACAGAGTCGGGAAGGCAAACTACTTAGTGGCCACCATGTTCCTCAGCTAGGACCACAGTGATGGTGCATATTAAACAGGCCCCCATGGCTTCCCTAGCTCACCCGTTTGTGACCAGGCTGAACTCTGCTCCTCTCTGAGGCTAGCACCAGGGTTGGGAGGCAGCAGCAGCCCAAGACGAGCCCTGTCTGTCAGTCAGGCACACACACACACACACACACACACACACACACACACACACACACACACACACACACACACACACACATTGTCACTCCCACCTCTTCTAATGGGCAGTGACAGTCACAGGACTGAACCCAACCATGGGTCAAGAGTGCAAACCCTGCCTGCCTCTAGAGTGAAACAACAGTGAAATGAGGCCTCAGGGCCAAGGCTATGGACACAGGAGGAGGGGCCGGAAACACATGTGTCCCTCAGCCCTGCGTCAGCAAGCCTGGGGAAGGAAGGGCTTGTGCCCCCCTCACTGGCCTCTCACCTTCACTCCACCTCCGTACCAGGAGGACCCTGAGCAGGTGCCCTGTCAGCCCCCGGGACCAGAGACCCAACCCGTGCATCACCCCAGTTCCCACCTTCCAAACATCTGGACCTGCTCCGGGGAGCCATTAATCTCCGGCAATTTCTTCCCTCACTTGAGTTGTTTATTTAAGGAAAACAAGTTGCTCCTAATTAGAAGCGCCGTGGAGACACTCGGCACATCAGAGCTACCTGCTTTCAGACATTCTGCCTGAATGCATACCTGTGCTCCCAGCATCTGTGGGTGTGTGCAGCAACTGTCCTGGGTGGGGCTTCCGGCAAGAGAGACTTGGGCGTGTGCGTGGGCGGTGAGGTAGGCTGGGAATGCACAGTGCTCTGGAGTGCCTGGGACCACACACACCGTCCCAATGAGCTTGGAGGTGGCACAGGTAGACTGGCGTTCTCAGGGTGCCCAGCTGAAAGCACACGAAGGAAGTACCGCAGCTCGGGCTGGCCGATGCTGCGTGTTCACCCTGTTCCCATCACGTGTGCACACCTCCATAGCCACCCAGCCACACACGTGAGGCACCTGTAGAAGCCACATGGCCATACACAGGCATGTACTACAGTAACATACAAGATGTTGCAAGCTGATACCGGGGGACATACATCCAGCAGTTCACTCGCCCATAGGAGATGTGTGTGAAAGTTAGGCACGGGCACACTCAAATGGACACTGTAGATGCCCACACTAGGAAACACACATGCACCAGCATGATACAACTAAACGTGCAATGTTCCACACATACACTCACTTGTGTGTATGTCTGTGCGCACACAAGTGTGCATGGCAACACAGAGGCACAAACCCATAGAAACACACATATGTGCAGAGACATGACACTCACAGGCTTCGAAATTCATATGCAGAGGCCTGCTGATATGGGAATGCAGGGATGTACACATGCCCAGAGAAGGCTGAGCTGGCATGTCAGCTGCACCTCTCAGTGTGGATGGATAGACAGGTCTGAAATGTACTGAGAGCCACACAGATATGTGTGTCCCCAGCTGCCCAGCACGAACTCACCTCACATTCCTCATGCACACGTGCAGGTGGCTGTTCTCTCAGAGGCACACAGGCACAGCCTGCACATCCATGAACACACATGCTCATTAGATGTCAAGTTCAGCCTGGCTATTCAGACACGTGCACACACACATGGTTGGTGCACTCATGAGTACATGTGCAAACGCTGCAGTGACTGCACATGGCTTCCGGCACACACATGCCCTCTGCACCCCAGTCCACCAGGAGGGCCAACTGTTTATTCCTTAATGTCCTGAAAGTCAGCTGTGCCAACTCTACCAGTGCATAGTAGATCCATACATAAACTGCCCATCTGTGCCCACTGTCAGTCCACACAAGACAAACACTGCCCGCCTCCTTCCCCGGGCTCAGCAAGAACCCAAGCCATCCCCTGGGAGGCTTTACAGCCAGTCAGAAAGGAATGAAACCATCCACTGCCCCTCTCCCTGCAGTCTCTGACTTTGCCCCACCCCCACCACAAATCCAGAAAGCATGTTTCTCCCAGCATTGGTTGTTCCTGCCAGGAACAGCAGCCTGCCATGCCCAGCCCTGAGGCAGACTGGATGCCTGACCCGGAACAGACAGAATGTCCCTGCCCTGGGTCCCTAGACAGCTGCAAAGTTGAAGCCATGGAGACAGCTTACCTCCATCTCCTGTTGTCATGACGACGCAGCAGCTGGGTGCATCCAGCCCTCCCAGACTGCCCTGGGCTCCCCACTGGGAGCAGCTGGTCCAGCAGCGGTTTTAAAAGGAAGCAAGAAGGGTGGGGAGGGCAGGTATCCTGCAATTGGAGAGACCTAGGACCCTGGCCCCAGCTAAGGATCCTTGGAGCTCTGTGGAAGCCTCCCTGGGAGAATGGTTCCCAGGATTCACGCATGAGACTTCCAAATGGGCATCCCCATTGCTCCCTTACTCTGCCAGACTGTGACGCGTGCTCCCAGCATCATCCCAGTCAGTGCTCCCAGCACCTTCCTAAGTAGGAACTATAAACTCTTACTTTACAGTGGAGGAGTGGCCAGGGGCCACTCAGATCTACTTTGAGACCTGGGTTCCTAAATACTAACCTCTACCACACACACACACACACACACACACACACACCCTGAGATCTTAAAAATTCCCACCTGTCACATTGCTGAGGGCCACATAGTGGCCCGAATGAGGATCTCTGAGGATACGTAGCATATCTTCATTCTTATGGAAACGGTAGCTGAGCTCAGAGAGGCCTGGTAGTTTGCCCTAAGTCACACAGCAAGTCAAAGGCAGGTTTGAAGCTACCTCCTGAATCAGGGCTGGGGCTCCCGGAAGAGCCCTGGCACAGACTCTGACACCCCGGAGGATTTGCCTGGATTTGGGCAGCCTGGGGAAGTGGCTTCTAACTTGAGATTAGAATCCTAAACTAAGGCAGGACATCCTTAAAATCTCACCTAACCCCTCAAGAGCTGTCCAAGAACTCCCGGCAATGCCATTCCACAAAGACAGGCACCCAGTCCCAGCAGGAGGCTGATCCACCACCAAGGGATCATTTCCAAACACAGCTCTTGGCCAGAAGTGCACCCAGTCTCTGTATCTAGGGGACATCAAGTCTGCCAAGGATCAACCAGTATGCCAGTGACCCCAGCCCCAGGCAGGAACGGAGGACAGTGATGTCCAGAATGTGCACACAGGGGGTGGCCTCTTGGAAGTGTGTGTTCCCTAGGGAGAAAGGTGTGTGACCACACTCAGAGCGGTGATCTGGTTTGGGACAGCTTCAGGGACCTGAACTGGGCAGTCAGGGGCTGGGAAGGAGGTGGCCAGCAGCCCGGCCACGGGTCCCCTCTTAACATCTCATTAAGGAGTGATGGCAGCTATCTTTGTTTGTTTGGTTTTTTCCCCTTTCTTTCTCTCTCTAAAGGAGTAGCTCCTTCTGGATCCTCAAGGAATGGGGTGTGCCCCTTGGGGGTCTCAGAAGTCGAGGAGCTTCTGGGCGGGTACTTGGGCCTGCTCGGGTTTGGAGAGGGACAAGTGGCTTTCTCTCCACACACCCCTCAGGACCCACAGAAGCCAGTCTGCAAAGTGGGCTTCCAGAGCCCTCGCTGCGGGGGGCCCTGGCTACCGCTTGGTTCCCCAGTGCGGGCGCCACCCCAAGGCTGGCTCATAGGTACCGCGCTGGCTCCTTCTCCCCAGGCTGGGAGCTGGCCCGGCAGCGGAGTGCTGCGTGAGTCTGATCTAAGGCCCCCCGCTGTTCCAACAGACCCACGGCCCAGGGATGTCCCCAAGCGCGTCCGCCGCCGGAGAAAGTTTGTCATCTCCCCGGAGCCTCCATCACCTCTCCGCAGCGCGGGGCTCGCTGGGGACCCGCGGCCACTGCTTACCTGGAGATGCGCCGATGTCTCCGTACCCAGTGAGGCGCAGCGCAGAGCAGAGAGCACTGGTCGCGGAACACGGAGCACGGAACAAGAGCGGCGGAGCCGGGGCTGGAGCTGAGTTAGGCTGAGGCCGGGGCATGAGGCTGGGGCTGTGCGGGCACCCGCACTCCCGGCCCTGCTGGAGCAGTCTGCAGCCCGAGCTCCCGCTCCCGCCGCCTCCCCGCAGCCCGGCCCGGCCGCCCGCACTTAACTCCTTGCGTCCCGGCCTCCCGCCGCGCCCGCCGCAGGCCTGGGCTCCAGGTTGAGCATTGCGCTGAGCCCCGCTTCTGGGCTGCGGACAAATGCACGGAGCAGGGAAGGGCTGGGGCCTGGCGGGAGCATGGTACGCGCTGGCCGCTGCTGCTCAGAGCCCTGGCCCGGCGCCCGCCCGGCAGGCAGCTAAAGAAATCCAACAAAGGGCAGTTTTGTTGATGGGTGTTCAGCGTGTTGTTTTAACCGGCCTGGAGTTTTACCTGTGTGGCCTCTGGGCTATCGAACTCCCTCTCTGAGCTTGTGTGATCCTAGGCTGATGGCCCAGCTCCTGGATGACACCCGCTGAGGTCTCTGAGGGGGCCCAGGGTCATCAAAGATCGAAACACAGGGGCTCCTGGGATGTCAACAGCCCGGTTTGCAGATGCAGCGTGATTCCAGGTTAGGTCCAAGGGTGACTAGAAAAATCTAGGTGTAAATATTTTTATTTTATTTTACTCATTTACTTACTTTGGTTTTTTTGAGACAGGGTTTTTCTATGTAGCCCTGGCTGTCCTGGAACTCATAATGTAGACCAGGCTGACCTTGAACTCATAGAGATCTGCCTGCTTTTGCCTCTGCGTCCTGAGCTTGGGTGTAATAAGCATTTTATTCATTCATTCATTCCGCAGGCCCAGATGTATAAACTTGTGTGACATGATGCCTGTGTGAGGTCTGAGGATAACCCTGGGTGTCAGTCCTCGCTTCTACCCTCTCCTGGGATTCTTCCAAGACCGATGCCTTACCACTTGGCCACTGCGTCTTCAACCTTGTATCTTAGCAGGGTTACTGATGTAAGCTAGTGCTTACATGGTTCTGGAGATTTGATCTCAGGCCCTCATGCTTACCCAGAAAGTGCTTTACCCACGGGGCCTCCTCCCCAGCCCAAGACCTGGTTTTGCATTTTTAAATGCCAATTGTGGAGCTAAACAGAACTGGGTTCAAGTGCCCGTGTTTAGCTGTTTCCTGGCCGTGTGGCCCTGACCAAGTTGCCTCAGTTTCCCCACCTGGACAGGAGCAGCTCAGACCTATTAGACTGGCAATGTGAGGATTACAGGATTAACACCATGTGAAACCTCACAGCCTCCCCCCTCATTATTGCCTAGAATGCAAACATCTTGGGCATTTGCTAATTCTTAACATCTAGTCGCTCTGACAAAACACCCCACTAAGGCATCTGAAAGGCAAGAGTCTGTTTTGGCTGCTGGACCGAAGGCACTGTCCATCAAGGAAGCAGGGTGACAGAGCCCACAGTCAGGGAGCAGAGGCCAGTGAAGGTACTCAGTGTGCTATTCTCTTACTTCTGTCTGGGACTCCCGCCTGGGGAATGGTACCAACAACATTCAGGATAGGTTTCCCCTCCCAAAGTGACCTGGCTAGTTTTATGTCAACTTGGCACAGGCTAGAGTCATCAGAGAGGAGAGAACCTCCATTGAGAAAATGCCTCCATAAGATCAGGCTGTGGGCAAGCCTGTAGGACATTTTCTTAATCAGTGATTGATGGGGAGGGCCCAGCCCATAGTGGGTGGGGCCATCCCTGGGCTGGTGGCCCTGGATTCTATAAGAAAGTAACCTGAGCAAGCCATGGGGAGCAAGCCAGTAAGCAGCACCCCTCCATGGCCTCTACATCAGCATCAGCCTCCAGGTCCCTGCCCTGCTTGCGTTCCTGTCCTGACTTCCCTCAGTGATGCGGGAGTGGAAGCCAAATAAACCCTCTCCTCCCCAAGTTGCTTTTGGTCAAGGTGTCTCATCACAGCAATAGTAACCCTGACTGTTGCTATGACACCCAGATAAAACACTCTGAAAGCAGCCTTACAGACACAGCCAGGTGTGCATCCGAGCCGGCTCCAAGTCCAGTGAGGCAGACAGTGAAGATGAGCCCTGGCAGGTTCTAACTCCAGAGTTAGTGGCTGGATGCTTTGGGTAAAGTTCCTTAACCTCTCTGGCCTCAGTTGCTTCATCAGACAATAGCCCTGGCAAGGCAACAAAGTTGCCTAAGGCTGATGGGTCTTTTCATGCCCTTCTTGTTCTCTCTGCACTTGTGTCTGTGGGGGGCCTAGCCCTATTGCTAGTCTCCACAGGTAAGAGACAACATGCGGAGTGAGCAGTGGCTGCGGGAGTTCACAGACCACACACCCAGGAATGAGTGGAGCCTGGCTTCTGAACCCCATTGCTGAGGGCCAACTGTGCTCTAGGCTTGTCCCTGCTGTGACCTGGGAATGGGGGTCCTAAGTGGAGCTCCAACCTCCCCTCAGGTTCTTCGAGAGCTCAGGGCTTGCTGCTTCAGACTTGAGTAAAGACCCAAGCAAGACAGCGGCCTGAAACGGATCAGAAAGATCAAGAGGTGATGTCAGAGAGTTTCTCAGTGCAAGATCAGACAACACCTCCGAGCTTCGTTCATAGAACGAGTCCCAGCCCGTGCGTCACTGTCATTCGAAGCAAGGCCTCTAAAAATAGAATTTGCTCTAATTTTGGGTGTAGCCAAGGCAAAAGGAAAGAATGTGCCAGAATGCAGAGGGCCACGTCCAGCAGTGAGTAACTCCCTTTGATGGCATTGTCCTATTGGAAGGAAAGAACTTGTCTTCAGACTATCCTAGTGACAGAGGACTATGGAGTCAGCTACACCCAGGACAAAGCTCAGACCCTGCCACCTGCCAGCTGGGCAGCCTTGGGGAAATTAATTAACCTCTCTGGACTTCCATGTTTTAAAAACAGAGATAACAATCCTCAGCTCTGGAGGGCTGCGTGCAGGTTGAGTGGTGTCTGTGAACCGCTTGCCAGTTGGCTGACTGTGCACGCATTAGGCACACTGTGACCTGTGGTCAGTGTGACATGGGGTGGGGGGTAGTTGACAGCCCAGGTAAGTGAGAGAATGGCCCTGGAATGTGAGCGCATTCAGGGTTCCCAGGGAGAGGTTTCTGTTTAGATTTAGTTGCAGGGGCGGAGTAAGGGGCACACATGTCACTGTTACATATGAAAAAGAGAATGCAGTGTTGGTTTAGTGGGCACCCGTGACCCCAGTGATATCATCCCAGAGGCTGAGGCAGGAGGATGGAAAATTTGAGGCTAGTCTGGGGAACAGCAGATTCAAACAGGGGGGTATATCCCAGAGCACTGGTTAGGGATGTTTTGTTTTTGTTTATTCAGATGTAAAAATCTTTTTGTATGTGCCTGATGTGTGTGTGGCACATGAGCCATGTGTGTCCTCACAGGTTCGTGTGGCAGAGGACAACCTCAGCCAGTCCTCACCTCCCACCTTGTTTGAGACAGGGTCTCTCATTTGCTAGGCTGTACTCTGGGCTAGCTGGCCAAGGTGTGCTGGGGAATTCTGGCTCCTCCTCCCGTCTCTTTGTAGGAGTAATGGCATTACAGACAGGAGTCTCAGAGCTGGGGTTTATGTGAGTTCTGGGGATTAGAAAGTGGGCTCAGGGGCTCAGAAAGTGTGGTATCCACTGAGCCATCTTTATTTTATTATTATTATTATTATTATTATTATTATTATTATTATTATTTGTTGTTGTTGTTATTACAAGGTCTCATTATGGCCAGGTGTTGGTGGCTCACGACTTTATGTCGGCACTCGGGAAACAGAGGCAGGCAGATCTCTGTGCGTTTGAGGCCAGCCTGGTTTACAGAGCGAGTTCCAGGACAGCCTCCAAAGCAACACAGAGAAATCCTGTCTCAAAAACAAAACAAAACAAAAACAAAACAAACCCCAAGGGCTCATTATGTAGCCCAGGCTAGCCCTGAACTTGTGATCCTCCTGCGTCAGCCTCCCCAGTGCTAGGATTCACGACTCCTGGCCTTGACTCTAGGTGGTTTCAGGTGTCTGGAGCACAGTGAAACCATCGTGAAAGAGATTATGAAACGCCCCTCTTTTATTTTGGCTGCAGTTGTCCCACGCTGGCCTAGAGCTAGCTATGTAGGTGATCCGTGAAGTTCTAGACTCCCCCCACCCTTCAGCTTTTGAGGTCTGGAGTTACAAGAACGCACTAGGCTGCTGGGGATCACACCTAGAGCCTTGTCCCTGTAGTGCAGCACCCAGTGAGCACTGTGTCATCAACTGAGCCACATCCCACCCCCAGAGCCATCTTTTCTATTTCTAAGTGGCCCCAAAGCGGATACTAACACAGACTGGATATGAAATGTCTCCCACTCACTCTCGTGTTTGGACGCACGGTCCCCAGCTAGCCTGGGACCTTCAGGTGAGACAGAACTAAAGGAGACGGGTCTGGAGGGTCTGGAGGCCTTACTTCCTGTCGGGTCTCCTTGCTTCCTGGCTCTGTAACCTGTGGCTCATGATCCTACCGACATGCCTTATCCACAGTGGTGGACAGCATCCTTCTAACCTGTGAGCCAAAGTAAGCCCTCGCTAAGGCGGCTTCTCGGGTGTCTAGCAGTGGGAAAAAGGATTCCTATGTTTAACACACATGGTCATGTCTTAAAACATGGATGCAGTAGGAAACGCTATGGCCACACAGCACTGTCTTCCTTTGGTGGAGTAGTGTACAACTGTGATAATGAATGAACTGTTGAGAGCACACAGATGAACGTCACAGATAAAATTTCAAACAAAAGGAGGCAGACCCGCCATGGTTCCCAGGTCTTTCTTTTTCTCTTCCTTCCTTCCTTCCTTCCTTCCTTCCTTCCTTCCTTCCTTCCTTC